GTTTTGCTGGGGTCAACATACATTAGTTTCTTTCAGCTTAAATGTACAATAATTCGCTACATGAGTTTCACTCTTGTTAAGACACATAACTCTGTTACATGCAAATAACGAGAGAATATCGTTTAGTTCGAGAATTTATCTTTATTACACTTTACAAAGTTTCTCAGAGCATTTTACTTATGTGTACTCGAACAGATGAATTCATAGCCCCGGTTGATGACTCCTTTGGTATAACATGATTCATGATTCACTCAAAATGTTCGCTCATAAATTGATCTCTCATAAGGCTTGCAGCGACCCGTTCCGAAAATGCTTAACATCCTTTAGTGTTGGTCTACCTTGAACAGTGTGTTCGTTTGTATGTGATTTCATCGCCCTAAAATTCATGGAATCTGTGCTATCTTTTCTCGACGACAACCTCTGTAAATTCCATGTGCTGTATGCATACACAGGTGGCACATGCGCTTTAGAGACCAGATGGTGATTTGTGACTGAACGTGGAAAAAAAAACACGGAGCCAAAATTTAAACCCAGGCCTCACTGCCTGGGTAAAAATTATGTACAGCCTTAGTTACACGGCACAGAAGGTAGAAAAGTTTAAACGAAATACCCACACAGAGAGAACCGAACCGCCTTGGAGAAGTGAGTCATTATCGTCTGAAGAAGATTCTCCTTCCCCACTGGAGAAGAAAGCCAAATAAAAAGACACATGAAGACAAAGTTGCAAAGCAAAAGTGATAATGTTGTCGCAACGTCTGAGGTAGTTAAAAAAGTCATCCCCAAGATTGAATTAGTTTTAGAGAAACCTGATAAAATGGAAAAGAAACCGGACAATCTTGAAAGCTACATGAAAGTTGTCAATGGAAAGGTTAATTGATTGCAAGAGAAGGTCAAATGCTTTGAATCTTTCAGTAAAGACACCGCATCATCATTAAAGATGTTAGACAAAGGAATGTCTTTTGCAAACTTCAAAACTGAGAAAGTGAAGGAGAAAATGAAGCACTGGGAAAAAATCTCTTCAAGAAAAAACAGCGAGGGTGAAGAAGCTTCAGGGAGACATCAAAACATTGAGGGTTGAAAAGCTTTACATGGAAATGTATTAACGACAAGGAAACCTTTGCTTTTATGGGATCAGAGAAACATCTGGCACCAGAGGAGAACATCAAAGAGTTAGTTGGATTTGTGCAGAATGAGCTGGATATCAGTGACGTGATACCATCAAGTTTCAAAGAATTCATCGCATCCAGAGGCTCAACCCTTCACAAGATAAGCCAAGACTGATCATCACTCGGTTTCTGCAACATTCTGATAAAGAGTTGGTAATGTCAAGAGCAAAGAAGCTAAAAGGAAAGTGTCTTAAAATATAGGCAGACCTACCAAAAGAAATCGTAAACTGCAGAAAGGAATTGATCCCAAAGTTTAAGAAAGCAAAAGACGATGGTCAAGCGGCGTTCTGTAAACATTCAGAGCTAGATAAACTGTACATTGAGGGAATCTGAGTTTATTAATTTCATCAGGCTTAAAAATATTTAGGTTTTTTTTATGAACATGTAACAACAAACATGTAACGACATTAATTTCCTTTTCTTTCCGTGTCACAAAATAAAATTTACAGTCGAGAAGTTATTTTTGCTGAACACACTTATCTTGTGAATTACAAGCATTACTGGCTGGTAACATTCATACTCACTATGTCAATAAATCACTCTGAAATGGAAAACAGTACCATTTCTTCGATGAACTAAACAAAACGAACTGCTTTCATTGGCTTAAAAGATCGCATTACTGGACAAATCGCATGGTCTGGCGGTCTCTCTACCTCCAAAATAAACTTCCTTTTCACTATTACTATCCGAATAGAAGTCCAGTGTGTAGTTTTCTTGTGTATTTTAATAACGAGAAACAGGAGTTTCAGTCGTAATTCCCCATTTTCGAATAAAGGAGCAATTGAAATGTTCAGAACGCCACATTTTGTTGCAATGACCGAATTTCCACCATATTTACATTAACAATTACCAACTTTACTCTGATTGGATATCACAATCACTTTCAAATAAGCAGCAATTATTTTTCATGTCATAGGCATTTTAAAAGTGAACAGTAACTTGCACGCTGGATTTCTGCATATTTAGTTTATGGCGACCTCCACTCAGTTTATTCACTTCGTTCAAATATATTTTTAGGAGTCTTATTCAGCTACTACAGAACCACTGAGAAAAGAACTAAGTGGCCACTAATTTAACACAGTTGAAATACGATTGATCTCAAAATAATTGGATTGTTTTTGTCGCCTTTTGATTTACAACTTTCATCTTTCTTTCACAGCGCTGCAATATTTCGTCATGCAGTGAAGAAATTTTTTGATTTCTTGTTTTCAGATTGATTTTTAGATGTCTTTCCAATGGTTTCTCAAATGTTAGCTGTTATAGTACAAGAACAGAAATTGTGTTCTATTTGGTTTTGTTTTGTCCGCTGAAGTCAATAATTACCGGTAACTCATTTTCACATATTCATTTTTTCTCAGCTTCTGTGGGACATTTTGTCGCGCAGTAAAGAAATAATATTATCAGTTTTTCACATCAGGTTGAGTTCCTTTTGTTAATATTTTGACCCCTCATTCATTCAACTCTAAGTAAATGATGTCTTGAAACCTGATCTTGTGTCTGTGGTTACTGCGCATAGGGTCTATTTCTGCGCTTTCGCTCGCTCTGAAATATTCCAAAAAACACCAGGGAATTAGGGGTGGGTCGCGGACAATATCATTCAGGCGTCAAAATGGCAGCAACAATGCTCAAATTTTGGGCTTCTTTGAAGACGAATTTCATAAGGAAAACCTGCACTTTAGAGGCCGAAACTTTGGTGAGTGGTTAAACTTAGTGCAAGGTTTTTATTAGCGTTGACAAAAAATATACATTCTTTGGAGTGACCTTCACCTTTAAGATTTCCATTAGTCTTTTAGTAATCACTTTCCACCACTACCTTCACAACAATGGAAGCTACTTACCCTACAAGCGTACCCTACAGGTGTGCTTTAAGAGACTATCGTTAGGAACCATAGCTAATTAGATCTGTTTAAAGTGCCTATAAAGTGAAAAATAATGGCTGCTTCTTTGAAAGACCTTGCAAAACAAAGAAGAAGGCCATTTACCTTTTTGGAATATCTTCCTCTGTTTTAGAGATATTGAGGTTTTTGTATTATGCAATCCCACTTTAAAGGGTTGCAAATGAGAATATTTGGTTTTTGACAGAAAGAGACTGGAGCTAAGAGTGTTGTCATGGCAATGGCACAACAGGTCTCATTTTGTTTCCTTTATGATGTACATTTCTGGTGCTAAGTTTGAAGAACACTGCTCCAACATTTCTAGATATGTTTTTGATTCAATTTTTCACTCTTTGGTGGTACTTCTTATAACATCATCACTTTCCTCATTTGCATAATGTAGCTGCGAACGGTGACAAACCATGGACAAATTCACTTTAACCAGAACGTTTAATTCACGATAAGCCATGAGAACAACTCACAGTGATGCCACGATATTACAACGGTAGAATTCTCAGAAAAACACTGACAATTTGGACTAAAACTGACCTAAAAGCCGAGGTAAACTTGTCATAACTGAGGTTTTAACTCAGTGTCCTCCTGGTCTCCGTTCAAAGAGGCCACCTCTACGCATGCACAAACCTAAATATGTCTTCACAGGGAACCCAGCAGCAAAACATAACAGTACAAAAACATCAATATCTCTAAAACAAAAGAAGATAAAATTATTCCAAAAAGGAAAATGTCATTCTTCTTTACTTTGAAAGACCTTTCAAATTAACACCAATTATTTTTCACTTCATAGGTACTTTAATGTCTCTTTAACATCTGGAAATGTTTAATGCCCATTGAGAAAATAAATAATAATCTAGAGTTGTACTGTGTTTAATTATTATGAAAATGGCTACCATTTTTCACTATGGTAATGAAACTATTTAATTGACTTTCGCAGAGTAAGAGTTTTTCTGTTGACAGAAAGCGGCCAAAATTTTCTGTGCTACACTGTATGCAAGAATACAGATAAAGTGAACAAACCTACCATTTCTTCCTCAAATGGCATTCTAGGTTCCCCTTTTGAAAAAAAAAAACAGGTAGCAAAGATTAAAAATAACAATTTTGATTTGATTTGACAGTGTACATGGTACATGGTTAATAAGTTGTAGAAATACTAAAAGTAAAAATTATGTTGTTAAATAATTTAAATTTAGTGAATTTTAGTTTTACACATTATAAGTGCTATACTTCTTAAAGGTGGGTGTTCACAAATCATAAATAGAATTTTCACGACAATAATTACTGTCAAGCAATTTCTATACCATACAAATGTAATACATTTTATTTTTTTCTGTTTGTGAGATGGCAGAATTCAACAAATCCTACAATTTGATTGGTTCCAGGAGCAGATGGAATTTTCCTATCCGCCGTGTGGAATTGCTGAGTTGATCTATTTTCGCAAACAAAGTAGCAGTAATCATCAATCATTTGCCTTTCTCATACATCCATCAATGATTAATCATCGCTACAGTTTATCTCAATTTACTTTTAAATGGCAAGCAAAGTCACTGTAAGTAAATTCAATTGAGTGTTGTGTGTTTGGTCTTGTTTGTAGCTTGGTACTGTAATGGAGCATAATCCTGTGTTTGTTTCACCATAGAATTTTATGTAAATCAAAGGCTCTCTGAGCCAGCTCATGGATAAATAGGCCAATTCTAGGTTGGCTTTTGCCTCTGTGGCAAAACAAGTCTTTGTGCAAAACTATTCATATGAAAATGTAAGTCACCTGTACGTTCATTCTTATGAAAATCAAGTCATTTTCATGTGAAATATTTTGCACCAGCATTCGTTCTTAAAAAGAGGCAAATGGCAACTCAGAAGTGGAAGTAAAGTCTGCATATGAGCCAAGAAGCCCATCAGGCCAGTGCTTATCCCAGTTTCAGTAGCATGATGCAACTAGGACTATTTCTACTACCCCGTGGATGGAATGCTAGTCCATCGCAGGGCTACCCCCCAACATTAAATTTGCCAGTACCTATTTATACACCTGAGAAGAAAGAGACACTGTCAGAGTAAAGAGTCTTGCCCAAGAACACAATACAATGTCCCCAGACAGGGCTCAAGCCCAGACTGCTCGAAATGGAAAAGAAATACAAAAATCAAATAACAGGTTGTTTACACAGACTACACAGACTGCTTATAAATTTCAAAATGGATAATAATTAATTTTGATTGGAATTGGAACATTGTTATTATATTAACTTGTACATGATGTAGTGTTAAAGAATAATTACAGCCTGTTTCAAACTGAAATCATTAAATGAGAGTTCACCATATTCACCAGTCACTGGTGTTGGTTATAATATATGTATAATATTAGTGAGTCTGCAGTGCATTTTAGGTCAAGGTAAATTGGTTATGGTCCTTGTTCCGTTAACATTATGAAATAGTTGTATAACAATAATTATTATGCAAAATTATAATACATGATTTTGACAATTATTTTAGGCAATCACCGTGAGAATGCTAAGACTGCCAAGAGTATTTTGCCCAATTTCACTTACGTGAGACAGGAACAATTCGATTTTAGCTTGCTAGTAAATGGGAAATCTATAGAAAGAAAAGTGTTTCCTTCAATATTATAACGATCATTTCAGTCAGTTTTGTTTCAATCTTCAACCCAAAGGGAAGGGGGTGTTTTTACATGTAGTTACAATTTATAAGATTTTTTACTATATAACTATGTCCATATAGGGAGGGGGAAGGGAAGTAACAAAGTTTTATAAAAGGAGGCTCTGCCCCAAGGTCAAAACCCTATCCATTTTAATAATTGTTTTTGACGGGAAAGGCTTCCCTTTCATATACATGTAGCTCTTAGCTTGAAACCCCTTTCACAAACCTAACGTGGCCCTACTAGATCTTATTTCTTGAATAAATAATCAATTAATGTTTGAAATCCCTGTCCTGTTAAGTCTTATAGTACCTCCAGCCTGAAAAAAGTGCACCTTCAGTCAACTATAGGGAGAAGAGCCCAGCTTGGTACAATACAATAATAAGGGTACTACATATTGTAGTGTATGCAAGTAAAAAAAAAAACAATTTTCTTTCTTGGAAACAAAACTCACGGTATTTTATTCCTATATATCTTGGTAATTGTTTGTACTAATCTCACTAGCAATGTAGCAATATTCAAAAGGATCGCAGATATGTCTCTTCTAAAAGATTTTTGCAATGATTACAGAACATACCTATTTTGACAAGTATCAAGCATTCTCTTCTTCATAATTATTTCAAGTTTCGATTTCAGTTTGTTTAATCTCTCATTTCTAGCAGTAAAAAAACTCTACTTCACCAGCCACCATGCATCTGGCTTATGTTAGGCACAATTGGACAGCACATCTCTTTCACAAAAAGTAGATCTACACAGTCTCTTGGACTTAATTTTTTCATCCATCACTAAAATATTTCAGAGTGTATTGACTCGAGCTCACATGTAGGTTGACTTGTATACCATCCGTGAAGACATTTTCCCTCTGGTCAAACTGCACGGAATACAAAAGAAAAGTAGTGTGAACAACAAAACCAAAAGATAAGGCAATTTGAATTTCTTAGTTGAAGTATTTTAAAATAGGCTAACAAATTTCAAACTTCCGTCAGATACTAACACAGGCAGAATTTCAAAGTGTGTATACAAAATAAAACGATGAAATCAAAACTTATCAAGAACTTAAACTTACCTTGGACTCCACAAGGAGAGAAAGCGAGTGGAAACCATCAAATTCTCTTGCCAAGAAAAAAAGCTACGAGCTCAATTTCCCCCATATGCTAAATTAACATGATCCCAGCACGATCCCACTTTATGGCTTTGTGTGTGCGGGTTTCTTTTATCAATTCTTTCTTTCTTTCTGTTATGATCAATACATGACCAGTTATAAATACCTCTACCACTTTCATCTACCTGTGAGCAAACGCCAATAGGCAAAAAAACAACATATTTACAAAAGAAAAACCCATGAAACCAAAATGGCCGACTTCAACCTTCGAGGTGCTTCACAAACTTGTATCCAGGCTCTCGATTTATCGGGCAGAAATGTACTTTCTAGTCCCCCTCATCAAAAAACCTTCCTGAAGGCAACTGGACACCCTTGGACAAACACAATACTTAGTAGGGGATGTAGGAGAAAATTGTTTAATCTTCTCTTGCAGGTTCATATAAAACAGTGGCATGTTGCCATGGTTACCAATGGGGTTTGGCCTGTTGTAGAAGTTTTCATTAAGCCCTACACCTGAACTCGTTCATTAACGATCATTTCTACATAATAAGCTCTATGGCTCTTTGGTCACACACATCTAGATAATGAACTGTACAGCTTTACGGCTCTTGGGCTCTACAGCTCTAAGGCTCTATGGCTCTACAGCTCTACAGTTCTATGGCTCTACTCGGGCTCTACGGCTCTACAATCACACATATCTAGATAATGAACTGTACAGCTTTACGGCTCTACCATCACACATTTCTACACCACTAACGCACTGAAGGAAAGTAACATACAAGATCATACTGATGTACTAAAGGAAAGTAAAATATACAGGGCTACTAACATACTGAAGGAAAGTAAAATATACCGCCTTACTAACGTACTGATGGAAAGTAAAATGTATGATCACACTAATGTACTAAAGGAAAGTAAAATATACATCGTACTAACATACTGAAGGAAAGTAAAATATATATCATACTAACATTCTAAAGGAATATAAAATATACTGCTGCAATGACATACTGACGGAAAGTAATTATACGGTTGTACTAACGTACTGAAGGAAAGTAAAATATACATTGTACATGTACTAACATACTGAAGGAAAGTATAATATTCTGTCCTACTAATGTACTGAAGGAAAGTAAAATATACAGTTGTACTAACGTACTAAAGGCAAGTAAAATATATGTCGTACTAATGTACTAAAGGAAAGTAAAATATACTGCGGTAGAAACATACTATTTAAAGGACTATTACTGCATTAAAGGAAAGTAAAATATACGGGCAAAATAGAGCCATAGAGCCATAAAGTTCATTATCTAGATATGTGTGATACTAGAGCTGTACAGTTCATTATGTAGAAATGATCGTTTATGAACAAGTTCAGGTGTAGGGCTTGATGAAAACTTCTACAACACACCAAACCCTGATGGTAAGCATGGGAGCAAGCTTTTATATGTACACACAAGAGAAGAAGTACAAAGTGATCGGTGATAAAAGGGTAGGGGCATAGCGCTCTACAAAAACTTCTAGACCTATTCACGCGTCGCAAAACAGACTAGGTATATTACAGTTATTACTAGTGGTCAGCAGTTACTCGATGAACAAAATTTTGAATATGATGGATGACGGTACATTGCAAACTTTACTTTTGTCTTCCACTGGTATCAATTTGATGTACACTCCTGAAAATATGAAGCTAATGAACTTAAAACAAAAAGGTTTATTTGCTGCTAAGCAACTTAAAGATAACACTTAGAAGGGAAAGCTACGTTGTACTTTGATAAACGTTTATAATAAACTTGAGTTGCTTGTTTGCTTAACCGAAAATTGTGAGCAGAATTTTCTTGGAGGGAGGAAAAGGCAAAAGTTTCTTGCTCGTTAGAAGTTTTAGGCTCCAAAGGGTCTGAAAAATAATTCAAAATTCCGGAGGGGAGGAAGAGTTAACGATTTGGAATTCCAAGGGCATGGGGGTAGAGCATTTTGAAATTTCCAAAGGCAAGGGGGGTTAAAATGTTCATGCCCCCCCGTGGTAGGGTATGGATATTTTTAGAATCACTCATTGATATTTCATAGTTTATGCTGACAATTTCCTTGGCTAAGGACAACCCCAAAAGGTCTATGGTAACCTTAAGTATAATCCCAACACATGATCATACCTACAGTGCAGCTCAGATATAAGCGAACCAAAATATATGCATAATTTATTTGCATCAGCCATATACACGTATACATATATACACACATACACACATACGCGTATACAGTATAGGCATTTCTGGCTCATTAGTATGCAGGAGCTAACGTATTGTTTCTTCTTTTCTTAACAGGTCATTGTTGTTTTCAACAACTTGAGAGCTTGTCAGAGCCAGAAAGAGTTTTCTTTATTTTGAATACGCATATACCGTATACACGCACATGCCTTCAGACTAGACTTGGCTGGAACAAGCATTTTGTAATTGGGCAACCTATTAAATGGATTGAATGGACAATTTACTGCTTTCTGCCAAATAGAACAGGGATGAGACTTCAACAATCCCATCTTCAAAGAGCAAACAATTTGTACCAAGTACAACCGGAAGATAACATGTTTCAATCGACAGAATATGAACATGGTTCGTGCAAGTGACCAGCAGACACACACCAAAACAAAGAACTTTTGCTTGCAGAAAAAATTTTAACCTCGATGTAAACCACATGTTACGGAAACTTTGATAAACTCCATTCTTCAAAGAAAGGGTATGTAACTGCTAGAAAGAACCATTTGTGCCAAGTAGAAATGTAGACATCATTTCAGTTTTGATGCAAGATCTAGTCGGAACTAATGATGTTAAGGAACATCTTGCAAATGACTTGCTGACACATACTGATACACAGAACTATTCCTTGAAGAAAAATTAAGTAAACATGAGCGGTGCACCAAGAAAACTTTGCTAAACAATTCTTTCATCAAGGAAAGAGTTATTTTACTGTTTGAGAGTATAATTTGTGTCAAGGAAACCTGAGATCTCATATATTCGACTAGGCCACAGAATGCTTCACAACCTAGTTCCCAGGATCTCCCATCTTCCCACCCACCCGGAGCGAGAGAGGAGTGAAAGAGGAGGACGAGAAGAGGAGAGACCCTGGGAACTAGATTGAACGCTTCAGTATAAATTGTGTATGCGTAGTTCGCTTATATCTGAGCTGCACTGCACCTTAAGCATAATCTATTTACTCCTTCACTGGAGATGTAAATAATTGTTCTGTTCAATTGTGAACAAAGAATCTGAGGACTTACAGACTTAATTCAACATTCTCCAATCACACAGAATAACTAGGTTTTCTATTTAAACATATCCCTTTCAGTACCAAATCAAGAGGACAAAAGAAACTGAATTCAGCTGAGAACTTGGTTAAGCATGGTCAAGCATCTCTTGATCATGAGAAATATGCTGGATCAAGAGCTGCAGCTGTTACACTTAATTCACTTTAAATTGTAAGGGAAGCTCAGTTGCATAATTTACCTTTATGCATTTGAGAACAGAGGCGAGCCTTTGCATCTTCAAACACCTCTTTAAGTTTAATAGCATCCTTGTGTTCTTGTGCATCAGATTTGTAGAACTTGATAGCATTATCAAACAGCAAGTTTACATCAGCACTAAAAGTATCAATGTCTTCATATTCATCTGTTTTCAGACGTTGCTGATTGAGAAACAAAGTGCAATAGGAAAAGCATTAGTCTGTGAAAAGCTTACGACTGAAAGAAACACAACAAGGAAGACAACATTCAGCAAGTGACATAATTAAGTCCTTCAAACAGCCATTGTACTCCTGATTTAGTCCTTGAGCATTAGTTTTAACCCTGATTTCTCTTACACCATCAGTGGTGGTTGATTTGTAACCAAGTCTGCAATTTCAGAGGAAAAATTTGCCTAAAGTTTATTTTGTGAGCCATGAAATCACACAGAAAAGCTGCAATGTCCATAGCTTTAAGATCCTGCAAAGCTTTATTAAGCTACCATAATATATACAGTACTGCTCAAAAGTAAGTTACCACCGTCTCGCGAGACGCGTCTCGTTTCTCACGAGACTCGTCTCGAGAGAAACGAGACTCGTTTCTCGCGAGTGCACTGGAAGTACCAATGCTACGCATTCGTCGGTATTCAAAACCTGTTTTGTTAATAAGACGTCTGTATCGTATCGTATCGATTAGCGCGGTAGACACGAT